GCTTTCTTGGCTCTCTGAGTTAAAAAGGTTGCCGACCCCTGGTCTAGGTGGACCGCCGTAGTTTATTGGGTAGTTTATTGATGAAACAGTGATTCCTTGGTAGAAAGTCAAGACTTGATAGGATGTCCCGTGCCAGATTACGTGATGTTATAAACTTTTGTCGTTTTTCAGTTGTCGGAAACATTATGGGTGATTTGAGAGTGCCATGGTCCACAGTTATTTCCAATCAGCCGTTACTAGTTTAGACACGTCTGTCGTATTCATTTCCCATAGACAATCGGTTGGAACTATGTGAAATAGGTAGAGCCAATATCGAATAATGTCATAATTACACTGTCAAAATTGTAGCTACGGTATAAAGCGGAGTATTTTTAGGAAGTCTATCATTGAAGGTAGGAATGCATAAAGTACCGGTGGTTTTCTCCCTCCTGGATGGGTTGCTCGTCGCGCTGTTACTATATGTGTTCAACGGACTCGGATTGTTTGGCGTCCTGATTTTATTCGTGTATGATGTGCGGCGTTCATGAGGTAAGAAGGAAAGCGCACTCCCATTGCACCTCGGGCCTCTCCTGTTTCTTGTGTCTTGTCTATTATATCCACGGGCACCAGTGTCTCAGGCTATTTTATAGCGCCTCCAAAAATTTGTTCGTTATGGTATCGGTATCGGGGTTCCTGTTACATGTGTCACCTAACTTTGTCGTTCAGCGCAGGTCACGACTTCGTTTATCGCCGTTGGTGGTTGTGTAAAGACAAACTGTTTAAGGTCAAGGCGGTGATCCCTTTGACAAAGTGTTAAAATATCACATGTTCCTTGCCAGCCAGTTTCACTGTCGGTAATTCGGCAGTGGCAAAAGGGAGTAACCTAGAAACCTATTCTGTGGGTGGTTCGGATATTTTAATGTGCCGTTGCACCATGCCCTCAATCGCTTTCGCCTGTGGGAGTGTGGGGCAGTGTAGGTTTTCTAAAGCTACTCGTAAAATAGTTGACGGTGATTCTGCCGCAAAGCCTGCATCGAGGGCCTTGTTTAACTATTTGGCTCCCAAGAATTTTAATAGTGCCTGACTTCTTTCTTGAAGATTAACTTCCCGTACATAAAAGCGCGTTCTCTTTAGCCATGCCTGGAATTCTTTCTTGTCCCCATATTTTGTGGCAATGGTTGGTATTTTTTGTGTTTAGGGTCAATTTTGGGTGGGCACTTACTTACTTGGTGGGTCCGTCGCGCTCACTCCCACCACTGTAGTGTCCGAGTACGCGGGGCTCTAGTAAGGTAGATTTTTTCGGTATAATTCTAATATTTGACGTTTCACCTTCGTTCACTGTCTTGGAGTCGTCTTTGACCGACGCAGGTTCTCTACAATCTTTCTTACTACTCGTCACTATCCATACGATCATAACCCAAGGAAATTTTAGCTTTACAATTTATTGAAAGTGACGCCGAAATGTTTATAAAGTTTATATAAGGAAACTGCACACGAAGATTGGACGGTCAGAGTTGATGATTCGGGAGGATGATGTGGGAAGATACCTTCGGGAGAGAATAACGCAGGTCTGTACCTGCAATAAAAAGCAGAACAGGGCCTCTTTGTTAAAAAGAAGACGACTCGATCGCTGGCACAATACTTTTATTCGCCTGACGTTTCGAGATCCGTCACGGATTCGTCATGAAAGACACAACCAGTGAGCAGTAGCAGAAATCTACTAACAGCGATCGAGTCGTCTTCTTTTCAATTAATTCCCGGGACCCGCATTTTCGCTTGTACTGGCAAGCCTTTTGCTAGTTTCTCACTTCCTGCTAAGTCCTTTTATCCCATTCTACTTAAACAATCTTCCGGTGCAGGTCTTTTGTTACACACCACCATGCCTAAGTTTTTAACGTATTAACTTTATTCTCCATGGTTGGTCTAGTTCCCTAATAGCCATTCGACAGCGAGACGAGCGCGTATCCGATTGGCATGTTTGTACCATGTCAAAATTCTTATTATAAGATTATCCGACGAAGTCATGGGAACCCAAGAACTGGTTTTTATTTTACACAAAAAACTATTTCAAAT